AGTCGCTATTAAGAATATTAAAGTTTCGCTCCAACACGCCTTCAGTATTTTCCAGGATTTCTTGCGATGATAATCCAGCGAATACAGTTTGCAGATGAGACATGGAGTCAAATCGTGCTTCCAGTTATTTTACAAATCTATCATGGCATTCTTAAAGACTTCCCTTTTATTTCCTGCACAAGTGTTTGACATTTTATATCATCTTCCTTTTCCCAGAGTAGTCTTCTTTCTTCTAATCCACTTTTCCATTTCCTCGCACTTTGTTTTACTTTGATAGACCGATTCACTCACCAGCCCGTCCCTGTTTCGATTAAAGAAAGTTTTGATCGCATCCATGTGTTACATACACATTCAAACCAATGCCAGGTTTTTGAAGTTTCTTTTGGATGAGATTTATTTGTCCCAGAATTTCTTCCCAGTAAAATAAATGTGACATGAAGGAGAAGTTTTCAGTTGAAAGCAAAATGATTTGTGCATCCCCCTCTTGTTTGAAGATTTTCTGAAGCTGAGATTAATGAATCGACTTCCTGAATCACTCTTTCAAGTCCGGTTTCCACTTCACGAATAGCTTCGTAACGTGCACTCCAACGGGTGGTTACCAAACGGTCCACATACGAAGATAAATCTTCCCACCGGTAATTGGAAGGGGAGAAAAATATATGGAGTATCTCAATCACTCCGAAAAAATGTAATGGGCATTGGATTCACAGCTGAGTTGAACACCACTATAAACTCCATACTAGCCACACTGCCAAATCCTATCCCTCTACATTTTTTGAAATCTAGTTTCTCTTTCTCCAGTCGACCGAAAATCATCTTCTTGATATCATAAGCTGTCTTCCCATGCTCAGTGATAAAAACCTGGAAATGATTTCCGCACCTCCCAATTCTTTGTCTTCAACAACGACATATCGACAAATGAAACTCATCTGATTAATATGAGAAATGTCCGGAGTGCTGTCAAGTCTGATTGCAAAATAACTGACTTTTCGAATTCGATCCAATATATTTTCCTTTGCGTGTTTTCCCAATATATGAATTAATTCATTTGGGATTTTCGGTGACAAGTACCGCCGATTATCTTTCAAGAAATGCTTTCCAAGAACAGGATCATACTTGCTCATTAGTTCAACAAGTTCTATAATGTTACCTTTATTGAAACTATATACATCTTTTCGATGACCTCTAAAAGGCAGGTTCTATTTCGTCAGAAACTTCATAACATCAAATAACCGTGTTAAAATCTGTCTCTAAATCTATCTTTCTTTCATAGTTTATTCTTGTAAATTACTGTCAAGTGATTTACCTCTATTAAGGGTCATTTCCAACATCTTCCATTCCTTGAAAGCTCTTTGGTGGTCAGATGAATTTTCATGTTCAAGTATTTTTGAATTATACTTCCAGAACATTTGAAATCCCGGATTTCTTGCTAGACTTGATTTGCGTTGCTGTGACTTCAGGAAAAGGCGACTGTAGAAACAGATTTGTTCGTTTTTGAGTACAGCAAACAAACATGATCTCAGAACAGTCTCTCTATTCGCCATGGTTTTGTAAAACCAGTGTTGTAGCATTTTTTTCAGTGTGGATGGGGGATTCTTCAACAGATCGAATGTTTTATTATTAACGTTTTCCAATAAAAAAACGAATAATTGTTTATCAAGATACACACTTCCGAATTTTTTAGCTTTTTTTCTTTTTTTTTTTTTTTTTCTTTAAGGAATGCTGCCTTCAATTTAGCAGCAGGAGTCAGCTTTCTACGCTCTTTTGATCTGCCTTTTTCGGAAAAAAACAACCTGAATTCTTAAATAATTTTCTTTTACAATAAATTCATTTGGGCATTTTTCAATAAATATATATCCATGAACATTTTTTTTAATAAAATTTGAATTTTTTTTTTTTTTTTTTTTTTTTTTTTAACAATGAATTGAAAACAAATCAAACATTATTTCAGAATTCTCCGCAAAGTAGATCAAAAGAGTCTACCATGCTGGCTCCTGCTGCTACTATAAAGAGACCATTCCCTAAAAAATAAGCTGAAAAATTTGGGATTGTGTATCTTGAAGATAATCGTTAAATTTGCTTTTCAATCCCCAAGCTAAATATTAATATTTTTCGAAATTATCATATTCTCGTATAAATGTACATGCTGAACTCGAATTAACAATTATAAAAAAAAAAAAAAAAAAAAAATTGGATTTAATCGCGATCATTCGCCCACTATTACCGGCTTTGTGTACTTAGATTCAGTCCGGATGACTTTTCTTGCGCAAGCATAACTTTTGGCCTATTTACTGCGTTTACTGGTGTAACAACCGGTAAATTACTACGCACTTTAGTTGTGGCGAAAAGCAAGGACAATTTTTTTTTTAGATAAATTTTCATTCAAGCTGTCCACATGCCAACACCCTAAAACAAACTACTACTGTAGTGGTATGTTAATATTTATGTGACCATTTGTAGATGTCTGGTATTAACATGACCACACGATTTATATTTTACGTAAAATACCACAAAATATGAAACAAAAAGGAATAAAATGGTTTTATAATAAGATTTATATTTATTTTTTGTGTAATGATGTACATGCGTAGAGGTTACTATTTTGTTGGTGTTATGTCCCTTTGTCTGAATTAAAGTTTTACTGATGAGACTGAAATATTTTTTATCTGAGCTCACAAAAGATGAATGAATTATAAAACTGAGAAATGCTGAATAAACTGTAGCTTTAGAAGAGAAGAGCTTTCAAAGAGAAAAGTTTTTGTTGCTTGTTTGGAAATGTTTGTAATGTAGTTTGGAAAATTTCGTACGTACGTGCATGCATGAATATATTTTTAACGTCTGACAGCGCATGGTCGAAACGGGATCATTTAAGGTTACATTTTCGCAGGAAAAGAAGATAAGAAAAAAAGTGTGAGCAAGTTTGTCTGCTATTTATAATTAATGTAACCACGTGATAGGATCACAGGAAAATAGCGGGAAAACTTGGTCACGCGCTGGCAAAATATTTATACGTGGGTGGATTGCAACGCCCACTTGTGTGTTTATTGACCAATTAGAAGCTGAGATTTCCTGAAAATCTGTATAAAACTGGGTAAGCTTTTGATCCTCTTTTTGCACAGATTTCTACAAAATTCAACATTGATAAGAAAGTGGTAGCGAGATGCTAAACTACCACCGTTTAAAAAAAAATGTATTTCTGCGATATATTTTAAACTTAAAGTAAGATTTTTTTTTTTTTTTCAGATTAGATTAATTAAACTTTAAATCGGCGAATGTTCCTCAAATAATTTCAGAAAAGTATATTTTATTGTTGAAAGATTTTTAATAGAATTAGACTGCGATTGTAGAATCAGATTCCTACATTTTTTTAAATCTTAAATTTTGTGCAAGTTAAACACATAGAGGCTCCCAGCCAAATATAACAACTGATGTATTTTGATTGGTTGTAAAATATTAAGTCGTCAACTACGTCCGAAGGTACCGACCCAAATTTTGACCTCTAGTTGACGCCATAAAATGTAAACATGTTTACGAGCCTCCCCACGTGACCAAGAGAACTAATAAAAAAAAACTTCGACGCGACTTGGTCAGTGGGCACTTAAAATATTGAAACCAATTCACTTGACTTCATTGGAAATCAACACAGCAAAGGAGACGAACTTTATCTTCAATACAACAACAAACATTGTCAACCATCTCCAGGCTTAACGCTCACTCCCACAAAATATTCCATTCCACAAGAATCTCTGGTTAATGAGCGATAACAATCAGTGAGTCAAGAACAATACTTTTTTTTTTTCTATTTAATACACAAAAAAAAACATCTGTTTAATTTTCCTACAAAAACAAATATAGCTAACTAAACCTTGTCATTTTTCACATACAGTACAGTAGCTCAAATTCTTTCAGTAACACACACAAAAGAACTCTATTGTGTTTATCAACTTTTTTTTACTATATATTTATGTATTTGTTGTGTTTATAAAAAATATTTATTGTTGAACAAATTCACATTTTCTTCTACTTGATTATTTCTCTTGTTGTTTTCTTTGTTACATTTGATATTGTAAAAATTGTAGAGGGTCAGTTTTTATTTCTATTTATAACCAATAAAAATTGGCTGACCCACTACAAATTGGTGACCCCGAAGTTCAAATGAGCAAAGCAATATTTTAAAAACAGCCTTTTATAAGAGAAATACTTTAGTTGTCACGTTTTAAACGAAAACAATGGAAAATTCTACCAGCGAACATATTGAAGCGGCAATTTCCATCAGTCTACCGACGTACAACCACACCAACGTTCAAGTGTGGTTTGCGCAGGTAAACGCAATTTTCAATGCAAGAAAGGTCACGTCCCAACATGCCCGTTATGCTTTTGTAGTTGAGAAACTTCCCTCAGATGTAGCATTAGAGGTAGCAGACCTCCTCAGTGAAGTGCCGGAGGAGAAACCGTATGATACTTTGAAAGATGCTATACTATACCGACTGACACAGTCCTCCGTAAACTATGGATGGATAAACTGAGCCCACAAACATCACAAATATTAGTGTCACTTCCGGACGATTTGGACCTACAGCGATTGGCAGAAATCGCGGACAAAATATGAGAATAAACCTCCGGGAACTGCTTCTGCGACACCACTACAACCTATTGTCTCTTCAGTCCGTGACTCACAAGAGTTATCGAAAATTAAAGATTGTATAGCAGAGATTACCTCACAGTTACAAGCTCTACAAACCGCTATGCATCAGCAAAATCGCACGCCCAACAATTTCACTAGTCGACCACGTCCATCACATCATACTAGGCGAAGATCACGTTCCACATCCAGAAGCAGGCCTATATTTAATACCTGTTGGTATCATTTTAAATATGGACAACAAGCGCGGCATTGTACGAAACCGTGTAACTTCGACATAAACGCAGCTAAGGATAACATCACACAGCAGTCGGGAAACGACTATCCCGGCAACAAGTAGACGTTTGCTGCCGGAGGGATGCCAAAAAGTCGTTTCTTTTACATCCGAGATGAGAACTCCGGATACTTGTTTTTAGTGGACACTGGGGCACAAATTAGTGTAATACCAGCCAAGCCTAATATGTTGACTAGAAAGACAGATTATACGTTACAAGCGGCGAATGGATCTTCAATCCAGACATATGGTGAAACCTCTTTAACCCTAAATCTGGGATTTAGGCGATCTTTTCCGTGGGTATTCACGATAGCCCAAGTTCGAACCCCAATCCTTGGAGCGGATTTCCTCGCCCACTTTAACTTGTCCGTTAATATGTCTTCCCTTTCTTTGAAGGATAAAACGACCAACATTACAAGGAAAGGAATTACATTTATTTATACGAGCACATGTATCAGGGCAACTGTACCTGAAGCCAACGGAATGCAGGATCTGTTACAAAAATATTCTCAAATTACAACAACATTCTGGTATACAGAAACCGTTCGTCACAATGCTGAGCACCACATTGATACTACGGGCCCACCCGCGCATTCATCTCCACGGCGATTGAGGCCTGATAAGTATAAACTGGCGAAAGACGAGTTTCAGCACATGCTGGACCTCGGTATAATTAGACCTTCTTCGAGTCCTTACTCATCTCCTCTTCATATGGTTCCAAAACCGGACTCAGGAGCTTGGAGACCTTGTGGCGACTTCCGGAAGCTGAATGCTACTACAATTCCGGATAAATACCCCATCCTGCACTTGCACGATTTCGCAGTGGGTCTGTAGGGGCGCCACAGTCTTCACCAAACTTGATCTGGTGAAAGCATTCCACCAGATACCAGTGGCCAAGGAAGACATCCATAAAACAGCAATAACTACTCCTTTTGGCTTATACGAATTTGTGAGAATGCCATTTGGTTTAAGGAACGCCGCACAATCTTTCCAACGGCTTATAGACAAAGTGCTGAGAGGTTTACCTTTCACTTTGCCTATATTGATGACGTCCTGATCGCCAGTAGAAACAAGACTGAACATCGACACCACGTTGAACAAGTTTTCCAGCGTCTACAGCATTTTGGCCTTAAGATTAACGCAGAGAAATGTATTTTTGCTGTGCCCTCGCTTAAATTTTTGGGACACGTCATTGACGAAAAGGGAATAACGCCCTTACCTGAGAAAATAGAATCTATTTCAAATTTCTCACAACCAACTTCACTCCGGCAGTTACGCCGATTCTTAGGCCTCATTAATTACTACCGGAGGTTCATTCCTTGTTGTTCCCAGATTCTGATTCTCCTCACAAATTTACTGCAACAACAGCGTCAGAAGAACTCAAAGATTACCTTGGAAGGCGAATCACTGACAGCTTTTCACAGAGCCAAAGACGCCCTTGCCAACTTTACGAAGTTATCATATATAACCGATGATGACTCGATGATCACACTGACAACAGACGCATCAGGCGACTCCATAGGGGCTGTGCTTCGCCAGGAACAGGGAGATGCTAAAAAACCTATTTCGTTCTTTTCAGTCAAGCTAAACTCATCTCAGAAAAAGTACAGCGCATTTTCAAGGGAATTACTGGCAATATACTTGGCAATCCGTCATTTCCGTCATCTTTTGGAAGGACGGAATTTTGTGGTCTATACAGATCATAAACCATTAATTTATGCTCTGCACGCCAAGTCGGACAAATATACCCCAAGGGATATCCGACAATTGGATTATATTTCCAATATACGTCGGATATCCGCTATGTAAAAGGGCTGACAATATAGTAGCTGATACCCTATCGCGATCAACGATACAGTCAATTGACGCACAGACCTTGAATTTCGACTACTTAGCGGAAGAACAAAAGACTGACACTACTTTGGAATCAGTAAAAGAAAAACGTCACTACAGTTAAAGCAACACCCTGTGCCATTTGGTAACACTACTGTCTATTGTGATGTAAGCACAGGATACTCTAGGCCCTATGTACCACCTTCTTTTTGAAAAAAAAGTATTCGAACATTTCCATTCTCTGTCGCACCCTGGTCGAAGAGCGACTACTAAGATGATTAGTGATCGTTTCGTTTGGCCAAAAATGTCCAGTGACATAAAACACTGGACACAGACTTGTTTAAAATGCCACCAAACTAAAATACAACGGCATACCAAGTCCCCGCCTGGTACATTCTCTAAGCCTGATGGTAGGTTCACCCACATTCACGTTGACTTACTGGGCCCTTTGCCCGACATTGATGGGTACCAATACTTATTAACAATAATCGATCGTTTCACTCGTTGGCCTGTAGCCGTTCCTTTAAAAAGTATTTCAGCGGAAACGATTTCCAGGTGCATTCTTAGAGAGTGGATCTCTATCTTTGGTTGTCCTTCAATAATAACCACTGATAGAGGTTCCCAGTTCCAGTCAGTCCTTTTCAATGAATTTATAACCTTGTTAGGCGTAAAGCACATTTCTACAACCGCCTACCATCCATGTGCATAACGGCCTTGTGGAACGATTTCATAGGCAACTTAAGGCAGCACTAGCAGCAAGTGATGACTCCAGGACTTGGCTGGAAAACCTACCACTGATTTTACTGTCATTAAGAAATGTAGTCAAAGAGGACTTAGGATGCACTACAGCAGAACTAGTGTTTGGGAGTACGCTAACACTCCCTGGACAGTTCGTGGAAAAGCATACTCCTTCCAGACCGACTAACTATTTCGTCCAGGATTTTAAACAAAAATGGAAAACCTAGCTTTTACTCCAACGCGTGCCCAAACAAGGGAGTTCTTTATGCTGAAAAAATTTAGACAGTTGTGATTACGTCTTCCTGCGAAAAGATGCAGTTAGAAGACCCTTAACCCCCGTATTCTGGTCCACATAAATTAATTAATAGAACGTCCAAGCATTTTACTTTACTTTTGCACGGAAAGCCTAACACAGTGTCAGTCGACCGGTTGAAGCCGGCTTACATCGATTTATCTCATAAATCGCTTCCTGACCCTGAGCTAACATCTTCGACCCAGCCAGCGCAGCTTGCACCTTCAGTACCACCCGCGGAAGTTACTACTAAGTCTGGCAGACATGTTCATTGTCCTAGTAGATTTAAAACGTATATTACATATTGAGAAAATTTTCTCTCAAAAACTTTCACAATCTGCGGGGGGGGTATTGTAGAATCAGATTCCTACATTTTTTTAAATCTTAAATTTTGTGCAAGTTAAACACATAGGCTCCCAGCTAAATATAACAACTGATGTATTTTGATTGGTTGTAAAATATTAATTAGGTGTCAACTACGTCCGAAGGTACCGACCCAAATTTTGACCTCTAGTTGACGCCATAAAATGTAAACATGTTTACGAGCCTCCCCACGTGACCAAGAGAACTAATAAAAAGAAACTTCGACGCGACCTGGTCAGTGGGCACTTAAAATATTGAAACCAATTCACTTGACTTCATTGAAATCAACACAGCAAAGGAGACGAACTTTATCTTCAATACAACAACAAACTTTGTCAACCATCTCCAGGCTTAACGCTCACTCCCACAAAATATTCCCTTCCACAAGAATCTCTGGTTAATGAGCGATAACAATCAGTGAGTCAAGAACAATACTTTTTTTCTATTTAATACACAAAAAAATATCTGTTTAATTTTCCTACAAAAACAAATATAGCTAACTAAACCTTGTCATTTTCACACATACAGTACAGTAGCTCAAATTCTTTCAGTAACACACACACCAAAGAACTCTATTGTGTTTATCAACTTTTGCACTATATATTATGTATTTGTTGTGTTTATAAAAAATATTTATTGTTGAATAAATTCACATTTTCTTCTACTTGATTATTTCTCTTGTTTTCTTTGTTACATTTGATATTGTAAAAATTGTAGAGGGTCAGTTTTTATTTCTATTTATAACCAATACAAATTGGCTGACCCACTATACGATGACGGATGAATAAAAAATGACGCTAAAATCAGCAATTTTAGTAATTCTAAAACGAAAACCGCTTCTAGTCAATTTAAATTAGTGTTGAAAAGGCATTTTGTATATTGGAAATATTAAATTTAATATATTAGCCAGAAATTAAAAGTAAAATAAAAGCTTCACAAGAAATGTATTTTTAAAAAATTAATATTAAAACTTAGGTATCACAAATCTGTGGTGATACCTACCCTATAATACCCATTTTAATATTTTTACTTTCATGTTTTTTGTTTTGTTTTTTGTTTTGTTTTTAACTTAACTCTACTTCAGTTCTACCCCGTTCACATGCGCTTAAAATACTTTATAATAATGCATGAAATTAAATTCGGTAGGTTGCCATAAAAATGATTAAATGCCTATATCCAGATAATTGCTACCACGTTATTAGCTGATCAGAAATTCGAATAAAATAACATTTTGCGTGTATACATACTAAATGTTTTAATTAAACCTTTTTAATTGCTATTCATTATCAAATTTCTATTTTAAAATGTATATTAAATATTAAAATTTCCTTAATATCATGTAAAAAAAAAAAAAAAACTTTTCTAAATTTTAAAGATGTATTTTTTTTTATGTAATTTCTCATTTTGAACAAGTTAAATGTCTGTCTAGACGAATTTGAAAAGTTTTCACTTTGATTTCTCTCCTTACTAATCATTTACTCTACCCCGCTCCCAACTTTATTCTTCTCTTTTTAGTCTCTCTTTATCTTTCTCTTCACTCCTCTCATTTTAAATTCATTTTCCTTTAGTTGTAAATTTCCCCCCCTTTCTTTCCTATTTAAAAAAACATGATTCATTTTTTATCTAACTCCTTGGTGTTGACAAGTCCGTTCTGGGCGAAATGGCCATATATCATATGGGGTACTGAATTTTATTTACACACACACACACATATATATATATATATGAGAGAAAGTAATTAAATAATTAAGTTAAAATGTCGAAAAAGTGCTTTCATCGTTGATTCAGCCACAGTAAATTTACGTCCAGGTTCTTACATTTCACCATCGTTGGCAATTTGTTTAGATTGAAACAAAAAAAAAAATATTTCTAAATTTTGAAACTCCCAGCATCTCTCGTGCGAGCCCATGTGTAGTTACAACAAAGTAAACAAACCCAGTCCGGTAAAGTACTAACGGATGAAACTTGTCACAAAAAAACTTTTCCAATTATCCTTTCTTTTCAAAACTGTTTTATATATATATATATATATATATATATATATATATATATATATATATATATATATATATATATATATATGTGTGTGTGCGTACGTGTTGATATGTCTACACGAGGGGAAATAGAAAAATCAGGCTTAGCTGGCTACATATGAGGGGAAAGGGAGATCACCGCCCCCTGTGCGATGAGTTTGGCATAATAGACATAAAACATCACTGAAAAATACGAAAACATAAGGAATCAGCACATATGCTAAACCACAAAAATCTCCTAAGCCAGCCAAACATAGAAATGAATAAAATATGGGAACCAGTAACACGGCGTGCCAGAGAAAAGTAATAAATAATACAAAATTGAAATATGAGCTCTGGTATGAAATGATTACTGAGGCAATAGGTTTATATGTCCCCAAAATCCATACACTGATGTCTTTACGGACACATGCCACATCATCACTGCTGTAGCCGGGTATTGTACTCACAATTCTTTTTGTCACGTCACTGGATCCAACCAACGCTTTTATCTACTGACTTGACCCAAATAGCTTCTAGTTCAATACCTGGTTACTGTAGTGTTGATCAAAAAAATTAGAGTTGAGTTAATGGGG